ATCCTCCAAATTGACTGTACGATTATGCTTCCTACTAAAAAACTGTCTATAATTTTTATAATTTTTATTACGAGCTTCAGATGCCTCCTCTCCAAGCATACCTACTGGAAGAAGAGACGTACTTATTATTTCAGAACCGTGGATCAAAATTTTGTGTAACGTTGCTGGCATGGGGTACCAATAATAATAATTAATATAAATTTTTGCAGTGGCAGTAGCAAATTTATCGAATTTGTTGCAGTCAAGAGGACACTTCGATGACAAAGCAATCAAAATAGTTCGAAAGTTACAAACTAATTGTGAATTAAGGCTTAGAATTTGAGCAAACAATTTTGGATTCGAAAAAGCTCTGCGGGCTGTATTGCCATCATTCGTAGTTCCAGAACCACCAGGTTTTGGTTTATCTACTCTTAATCCTAATTCTTTCCAAAGCGATTCTTGAATATGTTTTTTTCGTGTCTGAAAGGATTCTTTTTGCAACTTAGTTCTCATCTGCCAAACTTTCACATTAAGTCTATAGGCGATATGTAAACATAATTCTAAAAGACGAATCCAGGCATGTAGTGGACTAATTCCGTGTTGAAGAGAATTTAAATTTGGCAAAAATATGTCTTTTTGTTTATTCGAAATGTCATTAAATGTCTTTGGAGTTGCATGGCAAATCGCACAAGTTTGCATCGATTTTGTACCCGTTATAATATTTAAAACTTTGCCGTCTATCAATGTTAAGAAAAGACAATAGTGAATGAAAACATGATGGTTTTCGTCTAGCGAAACTTTATAAACTTCCAGCTTGTTAATTTTATTTTCAATGTTATTTTTTTCTGATAAAATTACGTCTGCTGTTTCTTTAGTAAACTGTAATTTCAGTGGACGGCAAAATCTTGCTGATTGTGATGACTCATTGTTCCATATTATAACATTATTATCAGTCAACAATCGTAAAGGTATCAGCGTGGTAGCGAATAAATTTTGATCACTTTCTTCCTCATTTGTAGGTAAAGTTTTATAGTTTTGTTTATACGCAGAATGGCCGGAACTTCCATCAAAACCCCAGGAGCACATTAAAAGAATATTCATTTCTGTTATCTGACTTTCATTTAAATAAAGAATTATAGACTCATGTTTAATTTCAATAATCCTTTTCGAGGTGTGATTGAGTAAGGCTTGAAGATCTACTTCGGCAACGGTTTCAGTTATTGAAAATGACTCTCTTGGTGGTCTGCAGGCGAATTTAGCTTCTCTAACATTATTATACGGAGGCCATATATCTGCTTTAGAGTCTTTTGAGGCTAAACGCATTTTTACATATAACTCTTTGGACATAGATCCATCTAGTAAAAATGCTAAAGCTTCTTCGGCAGATTTTTTCTTGATTTCAATTTGTGGCTTGTCCAACAATTTGCGAATTTTACTAGGCTGTTCAGGTGTTTCTGAAATGTTTCTAAGAATTTCATTTAAGTCAACCTGCTTAGAGTGTCTTGCCGCATAGCGACATGCCATTATTAACTTTTGTGGATCGTGATTATTTTCAGCGCTTATATTTGCAATTTCTTGTCTTTGAGAGCGATCCTGTTTGAAATTAAATTCTTTTTTTGGACGGCCAGGGCCTGCAGCCTTTACTTTCTTTTTTAAAAGTAATTCCTTTGTATTTATATTAAAAACAGAATTTAGCCAATCTTCGTTTTGAATTAAAAATCTATCTTGCTTTCTATTTGCCTTGTTTAGTTTAATTTTGTACTTCGATCTTAAGGTTCTTAATGATATTCTCAAGCGATTCTTTGCTTCTGAACAAATATTATTTGGATCACATTCTAATTTTTCTAAAATGTATCGAATGACAGACTCGATATCATCTTTAGAATTATTTATTTTTTCTAAAATTTCTTTTTTTGTAAAAGTGACCATGTTTTAAACAGGCGATATTATGAACATTACGTATACAATTCAAATTAAAAAATAGAATAGAGACAACACAACATATATAGTCTAACGTATGTTTTTTCACGCAACGCGCTATATGAAGCAGTAGCAGGCGACGCTCCTCAGCGAGCGCTATATAACAAGTGCTGCGCGCGCAGATTTTGCTTGATTTATCTTGTAAATAGAAAAACGCGCAAAAAGGCGCAACTTTTTCATACAGAGTATATTTCAAAGGATAGATCCACATAAAGAAAAACTTAATATCTCGTGGAACGAAGGGGAACGATAATTCGAAAATGTGTGCAACATTAAAAATCACATTTTTTTTAGGAAAATGAATTAAAAATATATATTTACGACTATTTTGAAGATCACTGACAATTTTTTTGGGCTTACATAACATTATTAATTGAGATAAAACAATATAAAACTTTATATTATAGAGAAATAAAAATTTATTAGTTCTTGAAAAAAACTTATTTCAACGTTACCTGCACAAAATTTTAAAATACATTTTCTTATCGACAACATATTTTTTAACTGAATGCTTTGAAACTTTGGTAAATACTAGTTAAATATGTCTTTATTAAGAATAATTAATTATATTTTTGAAATTCCAAAAAGTGTTTTTTGCCACTTTTTGGTCTTTCCCGGCCCACAGTGAGCTGAAGTACACAACGTTTACCAACGAAATTCTTTTTAAAGTTGTATATTGATTCAAAAATTGTACAAAAAATGTATGATGAGAAAAAAGATGCGCCAGGAAATTTCGTATAAGATAGTAATTTGAAAAACATTTATTTTTAAAAATTAATTTTTAAGGTACCAGGTGCCAACGAATACCTATTAAATATTAATTATAAAAACACAGGCCTCGAATCAACTTAAAGACACAAAAAAGTCGTTTTAGTCGATTTATATTCAAAAAAAAAAGTGGATTTGTTTTTTATTTTAACAAAAATATTTTACAGATTTTTAAATAAAATTTTTTTTTTTTTTTAATAATAATCCTTTTCGAAGGGTTAAAATTGAAATTTTTAGAAATAATTAAATTTCAAAGATATTGTTAATTTTCAAACAATTATTAAATTTTCCAGAACTGAAAATAATTTATCAAACAATTTTTGGAAAACATTTTTTAAATTTAATTGAATTTTCAAAGATTTAAAATTGAGATTTTTGAAATTAATTGAAACTTTAAGTGTTTTGTAATTAAAATTTTAGATGATTTCACTAAAAATTTATTAGAAAATGCGGACAAAATACAATAATTTGAAAAATGGTTTCAGATAGTTGAATTTTCAAAGAATATTATTAAAATAGTTAAAAATAATTGAATTTCCTTAGAGTTATAATTGAAATTACTAAATTTCAAAAAAAAAAAAAATTTCGATGTAAAATTTTAGAAATAATTAAATTTTAGATGCTTTTAAATTCAAATTATTGAAAATTCAATTAATTTTGAATTCCAATTTTTGAGAATAATGAAATTATATTTGATTTTAAATTGAAAATTTTTGGGAAATAATTGAATTTTAATTGAAATTTTGGATAATAATTTAATTGAAGTTCATTTTTGATTGAAAATTTGGATAATTAATTTTGAATAGAAATTTTAGAAAATAATTGAACTTTATTTCATTTTAAATTGAAAACTTGGTAAATAATTAAATTTTAATTGAAATTTTGGATAATAATTTAATTTAAGTTCATTTTTGATTGAAAATTTGGTTAATTAATTTTGAATAGAAATTTTAGAAAATAATTGAATTTTATTTCATTTTAAATTGAAAACTTGGTAAATAATTAAATTTTAAATTGAAAATTTTGTATAATTATTGGATTTTTAATTGATTTTGAATTAAAATTTTGAATAATAATTGAATTTTAGTTTATTTTGAATTGAAATTTTTAAAAAATAATTAAATTTTATTGTGATATTTTTTTTTAAAAATTATAAACAATTGTTAAATTTCATAAAAATTTTAATTGAAAAATAATTTTGATATAATTGAATTTGTGATGTATTTCATTAAAATTATTAAAATTAATTAATGTAGTGAAGAATCATTTTAGTTTAAAATTTGTTAAATAATTTAATTGAAGAAGATATGATGAAGATCTACATTTTATACTAGAAAAATGTATTTTATTTACATTTTTTTCAAATGTTAAAAAAAATGTCGCATTTTATTAAAAGAAGTCGATAAAAGTCTTATTTTTGAAAAAAGTCAGAAAAAGTCGTATAATCCGAGGCTTGTAAACATATAATTTTCATTATTATCATTTAATATGTAATAATATTCTAATAAATTAAATTATTATTGATAATATTAATCTTTAATTTCTTTATAACAAACAATTAAACACTCAATTTGGCGCGCTTGGGCGCGTTTAATTTTGCTAGTTACATATAATTAATTAAATATAATCGCATCAAAAAATTTATGGGTAAACCATTTGCCATAACCGCATAAACAGAAACTTAAAAACAGCGTCTGCTACATTTCAAATATCAGTGTCAAGAAAGTATGCGCAGAACACTGAAATTCGTCTGAATAGCAATGCACGAACGATAAGCCACGCCTTCTAGTGGCTTGTTTGCCACGCCGCATCTTTACAACGGAGTTTCCCCTCCTGGTTCTAGTCTTCTTGCTTTTTCCTCTGCGTCGTCATTCATGGGGAATCCACATTTCGACCTAAGAAGCAGAAGCGGATGAATTTCCGTAGCGACTATGCGTTTTTAGGAATGGGGACTATTGAAAGAGCATCAGGTAGATGGCGCAGTGGGGGTACGGCCCACGATTTTGTCTTCATGAGAAACCGCTGTTAAAAAAACCAGCCCCTCTACTTTTCACTACTACCATACTCGCCATATCCATGTGAGTCTCTCGTTTTGTCCAACATCGGCTAAGTCCCCTTACAACAATATGTATTAGTATTTAGTGGGGCTGCTTTTCCCTGGCAAATCACAACCAATCAAATTTCTCTTCTTTATTTGCTTTTTGTAAGGTCTCTTTCACCGCGAAGTGTCATATACATATATATCTCTACAAACTTATGAAAATGATATGCACCTCTCGTTTGAATGTTGCTATTTGCCCAAAGGACTTTCTGTCTTCGTAATGGCGCGTCCCATGCTTCATGTTCGTCATCAGATGTCGAAGGTGATAAGGATCTGCAGAATGTATTATAGATAATAAAAAAGGAAAGCAAATATTAACTTACCTTTATTAGACAGCAATCATGTGTTAATTTTAGTTTAATGATTTAGGAAAAAATATGTACATGACGTAGAATAGGCAAAATAAGACTTGAATATAATTTGCTAGTTTACATTTAAAAAATCGTATTTTAAAGTAACTTACCCAGCTTTTTTTTTAATTTTTGTTGGGTCATTCATGAATGCTGTATCAAAGAAAGGTAATTCATGATGGATGTTAAACGGTAATTTATAAACTTGAGGTGGCTTCAATGGACCTAAGTAAGAAGAAGGTCTGATTCCGGGGTCAATCCTTTCTAAAGGAGTTCGTTCATTGATCATTTGTAGTTCCCCCACTATCGCTTGATTGAATAGATGAACCTGTTTATAATTAAGAAAAATAAGAATATTTAATTGATAATTTAAATTTTTTGCAGACTGATATCAAAAAAACAACTATTTGCATCCTAGCATGAGCCCTCCTTATTGAAAAAATATACGTATATTTATACGTATATTTATACGTATTATTATACGTGTTTTTTCAATAGGGCTAATATTAATTTTAGACGTTAAAAATTTTATGAAAAAAATTGTTTAAGACAATTTGTTATAAATAAATTGATAATTTTATAAAAAATTATTTGCGCTTTTCGTTTCTACGTGAGAAATTACTATGGGAATATGTATCATTTGAATTGCTTGTCTGTATAGCTACCCACATAGCACGACTTCTTGCTGTGAGGTTACTGTAAGGATATCTGTAGGGTTTGTAAGGTTACCGTGTAAGCCTGCAGTAAACTTGAGGTCATCTTAAAACTTCCGCCTTACAGTAAGCTTACACAGTAAAGTTAAGGTAAGCTTACACAGTAAGGTCGTGGTAAGTTTACATGGTAAGATTGTGGTAAGCTTACACGGTAAGGTAGTTATAAGCTTCCTTTAAGGTTACTATAAGGTTGATGTAAGGTTACTGTAAACATAGAATTTTGTTAATAAATAAAATTTATTAATATTTATGCGCAGTAGTTTTCTATGGCACATACGGCTGCGCAGTAACTTTTATTTGACAAACCCTATTGGGGTTCATAAAGTACTTTACCAAATATATAATTTTTTATGCAAAAAAATTTATAGTATAATATATATTATAATATAATTATTTTTAATATATTTTCATATTACTTTATATTAACAGTAACCTCACTGAAAAAAAAGTCTGGTTAAAATAACCAGAATTCTGGTTAATCTAACCAGAATTAAATGTTATATATACCCTTACTACTTTTTCTGGTTAAAAGTACTAGAAAATTTGGTTAAAAAATTCTGGTTAAAATTCTGGTTAATTTAACCAGAATTTCAAGTTAATCTTACTAGAATTTTTCTAGTTAAAAATTTCTGGTAAAAAAATTTCTGGTTGATCTTATCAGAAATTCTAGTTAATCCGAGAATTAATTAAATTTATTATTATTATATTATATTATAAAATATGTATTAAAAAAATTTGTATTATGCACATATAAATGCAATCAAATAATAACACCTTTACAATGAAATTCTCTTAATAATGTTTATTTAAATATGATTATTCAGAGCTAAAATTCTGATAAAACGTGTCGAGCACGTTTTCAACATAACCTTCAAACTATTTTCCACACGAACGGGTTTGCCGTTCGTCAACAATTTTTTCACTTATATTATAAAATTAATTAACCTACTTTTAAACAGATCTTTTAATTCTCCGGCCCAATTTTCCAGAGCTTGGTTAACTTTTTCATCCATTCTTGCGATCCGCACGATAAACTATTCGAAAAAGAACAACAGACGCTATGCAGTGTTCGCGAACGCGCGTTTTTAACCAGAATATTTTAACCATACTTATTTAACTAGAACTGTTTAGTCTTTTTAACTATATTTTCTTGTTAAAATAACTAGAAATTTTTTAACCAGACGCATCTAGTAACTTTAACCAGAACTTTTTTTTCAGTGCTTACAGCAACCTTACAGTAACCTTACGGGAAGCTTACAACAACCTTACCGTGTAAGCTTACCACATCCTTACCATGTAAACTTACCACGACCTTACTGTGTAAGCTTACTGTAAGGCGGAAGTTTTAAGATGACCTCAAGTTTACTGCAGGCTTACACGGTAACCTTACAAACCCTACAGATATCCTTACAGTAACCTCACAGCAAGAAGTCGTGCTATGTGGGTATGAGCTGGAACGAGTATAAGTTTATTTTAATTGTTCATAAATTTTGCAGCAATATAACTTTATAAAAAAATTCAAGTAATACATGTTTTCTTAGTAATTTTTCACGTAGAATCAAACTAAAAAATTAGTTTAATAAAAGACACAATTACGTTTGCCGCTTAAAGTAAAATAGTCTAAAAATGACATTTGAGGTTAGGTTATGCTTACAAGAGATGGGAATCTGAAAATTAGTTTAAAAATAAAAGATTGACAGAGGTATTGCGCAAATACGTTATAGTTTTGTACGCGACTCATCAATAAAAACTTATTTTTGCTATTCACTCAGGAACACCGTGATATAGGATACTTAATTTTGGTAAATCATTAAATTATTCTTAGTTACTTCTTTAATTTAAGGCTAGATTGAAAGTTAAGTTATTTAAATTTAAAAAAAACATTTTAGTGTGTATATATAGTAGGGATTAAAAATTTTTTTATAATACTATTTTATAGAATTGTTAATGTAAAGGATGTATTTACTTGCTGAGAGAAGTGGACCAGATCTTGATATCGGGCTGCACGGTAACGTAGGAGGACTTGGAACATGCTCTTCGCTCTCCACTTTTGGCTGTAAAACATCATGAAGTCTTTCGTCTCCTGATCCATATCCCCTTTCAGAAGTGGATTCACTTCCTTCCTCACAGAATGCCCCCTGTATGCTATTTCAACAAAGGTAAAGGAAGACTTTTTTACATAAAAAAATCTTACATAAATTCAATAATATTAGATTATCAATTACTTATTGCTCGTTTCTTTTAGACTAATTAAAAGTACATGTTCAAAAATTTAAATTTAGTTTAAATTGTTTTGTTTAAAATTTGACGCTAGTTGTTTTTACTTAATTTCATTAATTCGATATTTCTCATACAAAACTATCTAGTCTAGCTTTGTTCCTCTAAAAATTATATATCCAAATTAGAAATTGAAGGTGATGGTCTAGGCATTTCAGAAATATATGTAAGCAAGTTACAAAATTTTTTTTCTATGCAGGATAAAATGGACCTTTTTTATTCTGATTTTTTGCAATTTAATTAAACCGTAAGACAGTTAAACTAAAACTTGGAGTTCAGCCAAAGAGATTTGAAATTATATAATTGATATACCTATACATCATATATATATAGTTTCTTACCTTTTTGTATCATCAAAGCCGCTTCCTCCTGTGACATCTCCAAACTCTCCTTCTTTTTTATCGATGCTTTCTTCACTGAAACAATTCCCGTTAATTTCGTTCGGCACAGAGTCTGTGAAGAAAAATCATGATACTCAAAAATATACTTTTATTTTTTATGGAAAAAATGTTATTAAATTGATCTGCGCAAAGTAAGTTAATACTCCTAACGTCGCATCAAATATATCAAAAAATTCGAAACAATGTCGAAGCAAGTGCATATACAAAAATCTTTGAACAAAAATTGCAAACAAAACATTTTATTTTTAAAAAACTTTCAAGTTTAATAAATATCCGCATAGCACAACATTTCTCAACAAGTTTGCAGTGCAATGTTTGGAAGATTGAAGGAAAATAGCGAAATGTTTTTCTTGTGTCAACTTAGAATACCCGATCTCGATTTCCCATCTCACCGAGTTCGTTTTTATAATTTTCTCCTTAATGTTAGGTTTTCAAAACAAGGCAGAGCAACCTTTTTAATTTTCAGCATAAGTTCTCAGAGTAAACTTTTAGAAAGTTTGCGGTGCAAAGTGTGTTGCAACCTCTTGTGCTATGTAGATAAGTTACTCATTTAAAAATGATATAATAATTTCAACATACACACCCAACTCTCTTTTTACTTTAGTAGATTTTGAAACCATTGTCTTCCGAGCAAGAAAAGCTCTTAGCATACATTGGACTTTGATAATTTTTTTTACTTGCGTTTCATAGAGACGTGATAAATATTCTTCATTGTAGTATTTAAGAAAAACTTTGCTTTTACCAATAAGCCAGCCTTCCATTTTCAATCTTAATAATAACAATCGGCAATTATCTTTTGTTATTTCAACATTCTCGTCAAAATCAAAAGCTAGAAATTTATATCTGTAATAATTAATATAATTCTTAAAGTTATGTATATAATGGTCATCGTAGTTTTAATATGCACAAAGTATACTTATATTTTAACAGTTGTATTTGATGTTGGAATTAACATAAAATGTATATTAATTTTATAAATGCATGTATATTAAATTTAAATATTATTTTCTTAATGCAGTAAAGTTTAATCTTGATAAGTTAATTGTCTAGTTATTATTTTACTTGCCTTGTTGGTCACATGACGAACCAAAAACTGTGTATTTAAAATTTAATACACATATATAAAACTTAACATACATGTACATTCCAGTTAGTAGACCAATAGTTATTAAGTCGCACTTCATATCATATTTTTCATGAAATCGTCTGGTTAGTGAAAAAAGCTGCCATTTCAGAAAATAGTTGAAAAAAATTCCATTTCGTGTGATGCTTATAAAAGGTGCCATCTCGGATGATAATATCATGGAGATGACACCTTTTGTAAACATCACACGAAATGGAACCTTTTTCAACTATTTTCTGAAATGGCACCTTCTTCCATATGAAATATATAGTGAGCTTCAATTTTTGTTATTCAATGTCAAATTGTTCCTTACTTTCACAACTTTTAAAATATTATAAAAATGACAATTTTTTTATTAAATGTCCCAAGAAGCACGTAATATATCTTCAATATCAAGGTAATATTACACGTGAGATTCGTAATATAACGCTGTAATATTACAGTAATCTTACAGTGATCTTAAAATGTCCGCCTCAAGGTAATATTACCGGGAATATTACTGTAATATTAACGGTAATATTACAGTAATATTACAGTACTATTACAGACTGATTTGAGTTATTCATAAAGCATAAAAAACGTAAATATATTATAAGTCAATTTGGCTTGTTGGTGAAACTCTGGACTCGTGTGCTTTGAGTTCGGGGTTCGATTCCCTGGATGGGTAGATTTTTTTCGTAAAGAAATGTTCCCATAATATTACTGTAATATTCTCTTGTAATATTACCTTAATATTAGCGCGTAATATTACAGTAACATTACCGGTAATATTAGCTTGAGGCGGACATTTTAAGATCACTGTAAGATTACTGTAATATTACAACGTTATATTACGAATCTTACATGTAATATTACCTTGATATTGAGGTTATATTACGTGCTTATTGGGGTACATTTTACCTCCGTAAAAATTCTTGAAACGGTATTCTGTACGGAAAACCTTGTTGCTTCGCTTTAGCCGTATCAAGAATAGCTAATGCTCTTATTTGCTGTTTAACTACTTCTCGATAAAATCCACGAGGGCTACTTTCAAGATCTGAACGAATGCATCTAACAAAGTGAGTTCCTCCCCCTACAGACAGACTTTTTAAAATTTCAAGACAAGTTGAACGGAAAACTGCTGCACAAGTTCTCATTTTGGACGTCTGCGAAAATTGTCCTCTGGAGATGGTGTTATATTTCTGTTATAATAAAAAAATTAACATAGTTAAAGTTTTTGGTATTAAAATTGTTTTTTAACCTTTTAAAATAAAGAGAACGATTAAACACGGCGCGTTTTACAGTTAAAATTTTGACATAACAACGCTGTTAAAACAAATTCTAATCAATGTTCGTTATATTTTTCATGTAACTTACACATAACGCACATATGTGAATCATAAGTTTAAGCTTCGCTGAATTGCAAATACAGAATTAGGTTAACTTACTCTAATTTTTGTTGTTTCTTGCATAAGTGCAGCTCCCCATTTGCTTCTTGGCGTTTTGTTTGTGGAAGGGTTTGGATGTTCCACAGTGATGGTAAGGTTCCCTGAACGTGTTAGCTGATTGAGAAACAATGATTTAATTATATCAAAAACAGACAGCCTTAAAGTTTCAATCATTTCTGGAGCTAAAAAGTCTCGATTTTTTTCTACTATATCACTTGCATCGTAAATTAACTTTCCTGTATAATGTGCGACGGTGAATTCATGTTTTCCTATTACTTTAATATGGACTGTTTGCGATCTTTGGTTAAGTATATCAAATATATATTGCACATCTTGTTGTTGCCTTGACGCATCATCTATTATGTGAAATAATCCATAGTTTTTGTCCATAAGTTGGTCAAGGGCATCCTTGTTATCATAGTAATGGTATTTTCGCAATGGTACTTCTTCTTCTTCTTGTTCTTGCTTTAAACATTATAAGAAAGTTAATAATCATATATAAAAAATAAACCAGGCTTAGAAGGAATATGCCCTAGTGAGGAATCTTTAAGTCTCACGATTTGCATAATATTGGACGAATCCCATACAGCACCTAAACTTGGCCTCAATATTCTATTAAATTACAACAACATTGCAGAAATAACGGGATAATTGAGGAAATGTTGTCAATATTGCTGAAATTTTGGATGCTGTGAGGGATATTATTATATATTATTATCATTATCTGCGGGAGACTAATATCATACCAACATTATATTAGGTCATTAGCAAATGTTTGGGATGTCCACGCCTAGCAAATATATATATGTATGTCAAGTTTTGGCTATTCAATATTTGATTAACTCGTTCCAGATTGGCGACCAATGTTTAAATTAATAAATAAAATTAATAATAAATTCGTTTTTAAATAATATTTTATTGTAAATTGCCAATTTTAGAAAGTCTTGAAGCTACACTATGATAAGAAAATTGTTTGTAAATTTTGCACTACTTATATAACATAAAATGTGTATTAAACAACAAGAAAGTGCAGAACAAGTCTTCTCTATAGAACTTATCACAACAAAAAAATAGTTGTGCTTTCCTCTGTTAACCTAATCAAGATCCATTAATTCATATTTATGACTACATTGGTTAAAAAAATATTGGAAGAAATAGCTTTCAAAAGACTCAAGTCTTTTGCAAAACTTATTTGAAATAAATAAAATCTGGAAAAAGCAATTTATTTATATTCAATTTAAATGATAATCTTCAAAAATCATTGTAGAATCGAAAAGAAACGCATTCGAGAAAAACGAAATATAGCACGGAAAAATATGTAATTTAAAAAAGATTTTTTTGCCTTTGAGGACAAAATTTTTTCTTCAAAAATCACTATTTTTGATTTTTAATCAAATTTTCAGACAATACTATTATTTTTTTAGATTAAGTGTATTAACGTTATAAAATTATTTATATAGCAAATGAACTAGACTACTCGAGAATGATACCTAAAGTTGCGAATATGTTCTGAAGACAAATGGAGTATTTATAGATAGCAAATACGAAATGAAGTTAACTGATAATCATATAGTTTGACATGATGAAAAAATTCTTACCATTTCCCAAGCAAAAATTTGTTGATTGTAATGACATTGCAATTGCTCGTTCACGGTGTTTATAACAAGTTGTTCAATTTTGTTGACTGCAAAACATTCAAATCCAAAAAGGTCGAGAACACTTATACAAAATTTATCACCACTGAAATAAAAGTCATATTTCATAATAAAAAAGCAATAATATTTTACTGCATTAATACTTTTAATAAATGAATGTTTTATTAATTCATTTCATTTATTAATATAATTGAAATCACATAAATAATACCTAACATAATTAATAGTTAATTTAATTAAAAATATTATTTAGTGACAAGATTAATTATTTGTTTGGCCATATGAATGGCTTCAGTTTGATTACAGATATCTAAAACCGCTTAGTTGTGTCTTTGCAATTAAAAGTATCGTATAATCCAATAAGAAATTATATCAATTGTTACACTGAGAAAAAAGGTTTGAGCTGACAACCAAATATTTCATTTAATATATGTGCAACTAAAATTTTTTGGTTGACACAACTAAACTTTAGTTGACATCAACCAAAGTTTGGTTGAGACTACCAAATTCTTTTTCATTTTCTTATTTAGTCGTCTGAAACAAACTTTGGTTGTTGTCAACTAAAGTTTAGTTGTGACAACCAAAAATTTTAGTTGCACATATATTGAATGAAATATTTGGTTGTCAGCTCAAACCTTTTTTCTCAGTGTATACAATGATCAAACTAAATGGTTTATATATGAAACAAAAAATTTAGATAAAAACAATGAAATTTTTGTTCATGACACCAAACAATTTTTTTTTGTGTGAAGGTGCATTAATATTCCCAAATCTCAATTATTAATATAACTATAGAATGAATCATGCGAGACTAAAGGAACCCATTTTGGAAGGGTCCTATCTAAATCCTCAAAATAAAATGTTCTTTAATCAATTTCAACATTATAAATATTGATATAAAAAACTTACAATAATGTTCGTGAGATAGAAAATTTGTAATTAATTATATTAATAATCCAATCAACTAAGCGTTGGTAAAGAGTATTTGCGAAAACATCTCTTGCCTCTTTGGCTTCATCACATGTATGCTTTTTTCTTATTGCTGCTCCTTTCTTAATTAGGCAATAATTTACTAGTGACCAAGTGAATTTCTTTTGCTCAACACCTAATAAGTCTGCAACTGTAAATAATAAAAATTACAAAACACATATAATGACAGTGAGTTTAACAACGCACATGATCGATCACTTTTTTTGTAAAATACTGAATGGATTGGGCTGGTTTGTGGAAAAGTCTAAAACATCACTGAGAAAAAAAATTTAGTATTTGCAACAAAATTGTTTGGTTAGGAAATTTTAACCAACCGAGCTATACGAGCAACTATGATTGGAAAAAAAATCTTGCTCTTAAGCTACAAGTGATTTTATTGGTTGCGGAAAACGGCACGAATTGTTTCGATGGTTAAGATAATATTTATTTAATATTGGTTTTCGCAAACCAATAAAATCACTTGTAGCTTAAGAGCAAGATTTTTTTTTCCAATCATAGTTGCTCGTATAGCTCGGTTGGTTAGGTATTGCGTTTGCGTTCGTCGAACCCGCGTTCGATCCCCGGTCCCCTCAAATTTAAAGTCTCTAAAAAATTGCTTAATCAAGTATTAGTCCCTAAATTTAAGAAATTATTTTTTTTTTCATTTTTGAAAACTAAAATTTCTTAAATAAATTTATTCATTAAACTGATTCAAATTAAAAATATAATTATATTCCCAAGCAGCACGGTATATCCCCTGAATATCCCTTGAATATACCACCGTGGAATATTCCCATGATCTTCTAGGAAAATCAAAATGTCCGCATCATGGGAATATTCCGCAGTGACATTCAGGATATATTCCAGTGACATTGAGGGTAATATTAAAGGAATATTCCAGTAATATTGAGGGAATATTCCACGGTTATATTGAATTTTTTTTTAAGTGTTGAAATAATAGAAATGTGTTATAAATCTTGTATGAACCTTGCCACTAAAGTTTCCTAACCTCGCCATGTGAGGTTCTGTCAAGTTTCAGGGAATTTTGGGTGCTGTGTGGGGCATTATAGGGGGGTTATACTAGGGGTGTTTTTTATAGGGTTGAACTGAATTTTTTTGTTAAGTATAATCTTTTTTTGAAGTTTTTTGTAAGTTTTTGTTGTGTTTATGGAGTAACTTAGATTTTAAAATTTCGATGATCATAATCGATGTGAACTTCCCTAATGAAAATCCCTGTATAAGATCTTGTACAATTTTCTGTACAGGATCAGCAACTGAACTTGTACAAGTTCTGACCAGTTCCTGTACAGGAAAATCCATACGAATTTGGAACAAGTTCATGTGTGAGATCTTGTAGAATTTAATGTATAAGTACTTGTACATGAACACGTTCATGTTCTTGCACATGTATAGTTGTAAAATTATTTTTTTTTAATAAAATTTGAGATTTTTATAATTTTTAACCACTAAGATTCGTAACTCATGCATGCTAAAAACTATTGCGCAGCTGTAAAGGTTAAAGTAAACTATTGCGCAGCCTTTGAAGTTTTTAATTTTTAGTAAAGAAAAACATGAATTAACATGTGCAAGAACATGGACGTGTTCATGTACAAGTACTTATACATGAAATTGTACAAGATCATGTACATTTTCTTGCACAAGTATCTTTCTTGTACAAGATCTTGCACCAGATCTTGTACAAAATCTCACACATGAACTTGTTCCAAATTCGTATGCATTTTCCTGTACAGGAACTGGTCAGAACTTGTACAAGTTCAGTTGCTGATCCTGTACAGGAAATTGTACAAGATCTTGTACAGGGATTTTCAGTAGGGTTCATCGGCCTGGTTAAGTACCGATCCGAAAAGTCGACACAATAATTTATTTTTATAATAAATAAATAATTTTTTACCGATAAGTCTGTTCATAAAACTTATTAATAAATTATAACGGTCACTTACTTCATATATAAATAAAATATTTTTGCTTTATATAAAATGAACTCAAAATTTTTTCAGATTTTGCGTGTCTCTTCCCGTCTTTGACATATTTACAAATTTTATTATTCAAATTTCGACCCCATATGGGATCCTATATAATATCTCATAGAATCCAATATGGACACTCATGAGATTCTTCTTACGAGGTGTCGTTATATAAGATTTGGTATAGTCATATAAGAAATCATAAGCGATCTTATACAGGATCTCAAATGGGAATTAACAGTAGGGCGACAAGTAACAAAATGGCCCATTGTTGCAAGCTTGCGCGACAAGTTTGTAGTAAGTAAGCACTTATGTAGTAAGCTTACTGCTTGGGTACTAAGTATATACGGTTATTATGAGTTATCAGGGATGGCAACCGAAATTTTTTCGGTTTCTATTTTTTTCTTAAAACATTATAGTTTCGGTATTCAAGTTTGGGTTTTTAATGTAAAAAATTTCGGTTTTTTTGGTTATCGGCAGAGATGGCAACTGAAACCGATAACTGAAAAATCAAAAAACAAAAATTTTTAAGAAACCGAAAAGCGAAACCCTTATTATAAAAATAATTCAAATCCATGCAAATATTTTCATTCATATTATTATCAGAGGGAAACAATCGAAACCGATAACCAAAAAATCAAAATTTTTTACATTAAAAACCCAAACTTGAATACCGAAACCGTAATGTTTTAAGAAATAACAGAAACCGAAATACCGAAAAAATTTCGGTTGCCATCCCTGTGAGTTATTAACAAATAACGTTTAAAAATAGTTGTTAAACCTTTATTTGCAGTTTCCATGTTTTCAATTTCCGCTTCACCGTTGTTATCCTCCACGAAAATTATTTCACCTAGATTTAAAATAGCTGACAAAATTTTCCAAATGGTATCAGAATGCTCTTCCAATTCTAAAGATTGCATATCCTTTATAAGACTATCAAATTTTAAAGCATTGCCCTGGGGATCATTTCTTACTTTAAATGACCGTTTGTTTCCGGCACTTTTGTCTCCTAGTCTTAAATATCGGTATTTTCTACTTGATGATAATAAATAATCATCTAATTTACCGGAAGCATTCAATCCATCATAAAAATAATAGAGAATATGAAAGTTTGATTGTGCTCTGAAAAACATACATTATTAAAAGTACACACTCGCGCAAAAGGATTTGCCCATTCTACAGCAATCATTGGCATTACAAAATTCTTTTTATTTTCGTTTCTAGTAAAGATGTGATTATTTTAAAGATTATACCTTGGGCTTGAATGGTGTCTAAGAAAGAAATTAAAAATATATTTTATTTCGTATCAAGAGCACAAAATAGGTAATTGTGGCCATGATGTAAACATATAATTTTTTGTCATGACCAACACTCTTGCTTAGCAGGAAGGACAAAAATTTTTATTTAAATTATTGGAACAATTGGTTCCAAAAATGTTTCATTTTTCATGCAGAATAAGAAAAATATTTTTAAAAAAATTTTTAATTGTGTTGCATTTTGAAGTTTAATTTATACATTTTGATTTTATACTATCTGCAGCAGATCAATGAATTTAACATTGTACTAATATTTAATAGAATTTAATACTTTTACACTTATAAAAATTAAAATAGCTTCTTTACAATAAAAAAAGATCATTTAACTATTTAACTGCTTATAAATGTAATAGTATGGAATTCTTTTAAGTAAACAAATGATAATATTTCTGTCAAAAATAAATTATCGTAGAATAATTTTCAAAAAACGTCTTAAAGATGATAAAATATACTATAAGATACATTTTGACAAATTAATATGTGGCATTCCACGTGAGATTTTCATAAAAAAATTTTTTTTGACTTGACCATTTTTTTCAAAATCTTTAAGAAAAATAAAAAAATAAGTATTTTTTATTTGATAATAATTATGGAAGATATTAGTTTTTTAATATTTAACGTTGTCAGAAGCAGAGTATTTTTGAAATGCATTTTTCTCTGTGCTACTAACAGATGAAAAATAATATTATATATGAAATTTCTTCGATTTTTTTCAACATTTTGAATATGAAATAAAAATTAACGTTACTACTACACCCAGAAAAAAGTTTCTTCGTTTCAAAGAACGTTTTTTTGAATCAAAGAAATTTGTGCATTGTTATAGGGTCAAAGAAAAATTTCTTTGATTTAAAGCAATTACTTCTTTCCTTGATTTTTGTTGACTCAAAGTAATATTTCTTTGATTTTACGAAATCTTTTATTTGTGTCACGTCACCGTAACATTTTTGTTATAAATAAATAATAATAATTATTAATAATTAATTTGTATAAATAAAACAAATAAATATTTATGTAAAATTAATTTTTTAAATAAATAAAAATAAATAATTATTTTTAAATAAACAAATATTTGTAAAAAATATTTGTAAATAAACAAATATATTTATAAATAGATATTTATTTATAAATAAACAAATATGTTTATAAATAAATAATTATTTATGATTAAAACTAATACTTAAAAAACAAATGTTACAAATATTATAAGTATAAATAAATAATCATGTAATTAATATTTAAAAATAATCAATATGTAAAATTATAATATTTCTTGAGGGTATGGTGTTCTTGATATTTGGAGTTATGAAAGACGATCTACAAACAAGGAAATCAACATACAGAGTCACCAATGCATAGAAAAAAGCAATAAACACTTTTCGTGTCTGTGAGGTACCGATTTTGAATCGAACCCAAAGAGGCGAGCTGGTACCGCCGCGAGAAATGCATTGGAAAATATTAATATATGATTTTTCTCAAATTTTTTTCAAAATTCGGTAAATTGTAGTGATAGTGGTGCTAAATAAGTGTACAAATTTTGAATTTGAAATTTTTAATATTTTTCGAGATATTTACAATAACAAATTTGAGCAATATTTTTTTGCTTTAGTTATAATTTTTTTCCTATTAAAAATAGAGAAAAATTTTGTAAATGTTTTTTACGCGGAAGATCTTAAATTTTTAGAAAAAAAATATTTAAAAAAAAAATATTAATTTTTAAACAATTTGTTTAAAAAATAAAATTTGTTTATAACTTTTAACCATGTTCTCCCTCATTTAGAAACGCGAAAAAAATCATAAATATTGTTTAAGTCATAATAAATCGATAGTTAAATTTTTGAGATGGCATTATTTTTTGTTTTCCAAATATTAATTAATTAACTAACAAAAGTTAATAAAAAATGAAATATTTTACGAACAAATAAAATTAGAGTAATTTGAAAAACACCATTATAATTATTATCAAAATCCGCATCCAACGAGCCCTATATGAACTGTTTCTAATAAACGGGTGTTAAATTAATAATTAATAATAAAAATTATTTAAATAATTAATAACATTTAAGGAAATGAAGATAAACCGTCAATTCTTTTTTTATTTGGAAGATCATCTAATTCTGTATTAAATAAAACCAGTGTAAATAACATTTTTAACAAATCTAAATTATTAACAGATGATTATTGAAAATTGAGGTTTCAGCACCCTACGACACAAGTTGGAGGGGGCTGCCTACCTACTCGGCATGGTATTTTTCAGTCTTTTTCTAAATAACATTTTATAATTAATTTTTGATTCTTGGTAATACTTTTAACTTTTTTTAATTTAAACAAATTTTATCTTTGATTCAAAAAGTGAGTTTAAACAAACGATTTCTTTGTTTCAAAGAAATCTTTTTTCTAGGTGTACGGAAGCATTTAAAAAATTGAAATAAATTCTAAAAAGTAACTTTTCTTAAAATCGAATTGATGGATTTTTTTAAATCCATTTTCTGATAAAATAAAGAATTTTTTCGTGTTTTTTGTAGCAAAAAATACTATTTACAGTTTTCTAGTACTACTAATAGATTTTTAAACATTTATTTTATAAAATAATATAACCTTTTCTCCTTATCATTAATTTTATTTTTGTATTATTTTTAGAAATACATCATGAAAATCTTTGCATCTAGCTTAAAAACTGTAAATATTATTTTTGCTACAAAGAACACCATTTTTGCATAACAGGAAAAAAATTCCTTATTTAGGTATTACAGATTGAATTTAAAAAAAATCCAAAATCTATCACTTCGGTTTTGAGAAGTCACTTTTTAGATTTAATTTCAATTTTTTAGATATACTTCCGTAATAATTACGTTAATTTTTATTTCATATTTAAAATATTGAAGAAAAATTGAACAAAATATATAATATTACTTGTTATGTAAAAGTACTCTGCTACTGACGACCTTAAATTTAAAAAGATAATAAATTTCATAATTTTTATCAAATAAAAAAATACATATTTATTTATTTTTCATAAATTTAAAAAAGATATTTTTTTTCTTTTTTATTTTTGCTAAACAATGTAAAATATATTTCTCTTTTAGATAGTGTTCCTGCTCAAGGTATAAGCTTTAAAATAAATATTTGTTGACCTTTGCATCTTTACTAGAAACGAAAATATAAAAAATTTTGAAATGCTTTTGATTGATATAAAGTAGGCAAATGCTGTTGAATATTAAAATTTTTATTTAAATGTTCATCATAATAGTTCATTTTTATTTATTGATGCAAAAATTAATTAAATTACCGTTCACGTGTTGAAATGCGCCACTTTTCTAACTGGTACAACCAAAATATTGCGCCGGATGCTTTTCCTGTAGATCCGTAAGTTGTTTGGATTTGTAAAAGACATCGTGTTGAATTATGGTTTAACGGTGTTGCTGCATTCGTGAAAGCGTGTATGATGTTGATTGCCTTTATAAGTCTAGCTCCAATATCATTGATACTCTGAGTAGTAGACAGTATTGATTATTAGCACTTAATAATATTTTACAATTTGTATATGTTTAAATAATATAATACATATAGTTTTGCTACACAAATGTGGAATAGGTATCGTTTACAATTACATTTTTTTAAAAGTGCGTTTTCTGTTTATTTCAAATCATAGTTTTCGTGAAATTTATTTTCCATTACATATCATTCACGAAAAATAACTGCATCTCTAATTATGTCAAAATAATTAGTATTTTCAATTATTTTTGCAAAAAACTTAAGCGTTGACTTTAAAGCAAGATATTTCAAGTTAGAAAAAAGTGAGACTTCTAACTTAGATGGTTGGAAAGCTGATAAAATTCCGCTTCTGAATGTATATCAAGAAAATTTTTTTCTTTTTTTGTATTTATAATACCGAAAAGATTTCAAGCAAAAATTATGCAATTTTCGTACTGTCGTACTGTTTTTGACTTCCGGCATATTCTAGAATAATGTATGGAAAAATTTGATAATTTTACAACATAATCTTTAAGATCTCAGCTTTAATTTGCATTTTTGAAACTTAAAAAATGTTTTGTTTTGATCATCACTTTTTGCCGCCTCGCTGCTGGGTTGCAGAAAAACATGCTCGAACATTTTTTAACATATTTCAGGAACTACAAAACATTTTTTTTATCAGCTTTCCAACTATCTAAGTTAGAAGTCTCTAACTTTTTTTCTAACTTGAAATATCTTGCTTTAAAGTCAGCGCCGAATTTCCACTCCTGGAACGTTATTCGTACCGACAATTTCCGACGGTAGTGTAAGTATGTATATTGCGAATTGATACACGGAGAGAAATCTGCTGCGATTTGCGCATGAGCAAGTCCATAGGAATATAGCATGGACACTTCCAAGCAAAAACTATAAGATTCCATCTGAATATCAGGTGAGACTCATACAATAATACCTCGCTCACTTAGGATTTTTGCTTGAAAGCGTCTGTTACTATATTCCTAAGGACATGCTCATGCGTAAATCGCACCAGATTTCTCTCCGTGTATAAATCGTGATATAAATATTACATATGTCATTAAAATACAACAGAATTAAAGGCCAAGGCATAATAGATTCTTAAAGCTGTTTCTACAACAACTTTTTTTTAAAGGCTCTGAAAGGAGATTCCACAATAACTTGCATATGCATTGCTTTGACTTGCTTTTTTTAAAGTCAAATCGGTGCGCGCGCAACACTTGCCGAAAATAAAGAAATTATTAATTAATTAAATTTAATGAATAAAAACAAATTAATTAGTAATTTTTTTATTTTCGGCAACTGGAAACTATTGCGCGCGCATCGTTTTGACTTAACAAAGCAAGTCAAATGCAAAGCAAAAGCTTAAGCAAGTTGTTGTGGAATCTCCTTTAATTCGGAAAGGGCCATCCTGATTCTATACACTCATGGAGGTTCTACAATAGGTGCAAAAGGAAAGTGCAAGTACAAGTACATAAATACATATCCCATGAGTGCAAGAGAGATAGATAGACTACCTATCTTTTTCGCACTCATGAGATTGGCACTTGGACTTGCACTTGTACTTGGCTTTTGCACTTATTTTGGAACCGCCTTTAAAGTCTTGTTTAGAGATGGGTAAAGGCTCTTGTATATATAACCAATCTCGAGTATACTTACATCTCTTTTACTCCAATGGTACACGACAGAAGTATACTCGGGATCGGTGAGGTATACAAGCGCCTTAATACTATGTATTATTGGGATCTGAAATACTGCGATACGCCATCTGGTGAGAGCCTTGTTGTGGTGGCCATGTTTTCATTCCGTGTTTCTCTAATATATACAAAAGAAAGAGATAAAAAACCAAGATGGTTGTCACAAGAAGGCTCAGGGGTGGGTCATTTTCGCGTGATTTCTGATCCCAATACATTATTATAGATATATTAAGGCCTTTCTCCAATGTATTCCTAAATGTTAAGGCCAACGCAGAATAGGAATGTAACCGGAATCGTAATCGCAAACGCAACCGGAAGAATGAGTTAGAGAAGGATAGACATATTGTTTGTCCTTCTCTAACTCATTCTTCCGGTTGCGTTTGCGATTACGATTCCGGTTACGTTTCTATTCTGCTCATGCCTTTAGGGTTGCGTGACTGACGCATTTGTTCGCAAGCGCAGTGACGTCATCAAAGCATTGATACCAATCGCGAGCAAAAAGCTTGGTTTATGATTTTAGAACACTGAATTTTTTAATTATAAATATTTTGTTCATTAATTTTTCTTTAATTCAATTAAAATTATTAAAAGCTGTCGAGAAACATGTACATTAAAAATTGTACATAAACCAAACTTTTTGTTCGCGATTGGTGTCAATGCTTTGATGATGTCACAGCGCTTGTCAACCAACGCGTCAGTCACGCAACGCAAACATTTAGGAACATATTGGAGAAAGGCCTTTATATATTATATTGGGTGTTTTCGGGAGTTGCTGACAGTATACTGACATTAAAAAATTACCCAATCAGAATAAACATGCTGATGGATAAACCAATCACAATATACTGACAATATACTGACAATATACTCACAGCAACTCCCGAAAACACCTATTATATTATATTATATTATATTATATTATATTATATTATATAGAAATACCCCCACTCCCTCTTATTTTCGAAATATTCGTGTATAATACGTCACGCATTATACGTACCCATCTCTGACATCGATTCTTCTCGAATTTTACTTCACGTTTGTTCATATTGTGTGAACTATCAAGTTGTTTTTCTCAATTATTTTAATGTTTTTCGCGGGTATTTATAGTTTTTACAGATTTTTCAAGTTTCTTTTATGTTTTGTGTATAATGTTCAAAAGGATTCTTTTACGGAGAAATTTGCTCTTGCTCAGAAAATTATTATAGGTTAGGGCGGATATCGTGACTGCACAGAACTTGATAAACAAATTTTCTAAAAAACTAAGGTATATATATATACATATACATAATTTTTATACATATCTCGTACTCGAGAAATGTGATTATTTGCTTTTGGTTTACGAAAAAAAATTTTAAATGTACTATTCTAGAAAAAAATCGATTGAAAACAATACGAAAGAAATTTCTATTGTCCCCAGTCGCGTTTCTTAATCATGTTTTTCCAATTGAAGACGTTTGACTTTCTTATTATATTCAATCGTCTTCAATCGTATTTTATAAATTGTATTTCATGCACTATTGTTTGACGGGAGTTTTTGAAAATTCTAAAAAGGGTTTACTAATTAAATAGTCTAAAAAAACATAATTGTTTCAAAGATTATTTTCCGAACTAAAAAATTAAAATATTTATCAGTGTATTTGTCACCCAAGGAGAAAATCAAATATTTTAGCAAAAATTAATTAAAAATAATTTCTTCATTTATCTTTGGATGAAGCTGCACAAGACAAAATTTTTATAATTTATCGAAAAAAATGTTTAAAAAATAATTTTTGACAAATACATCAAGTATTGTTTTTAATTGAAATTTTTATTAATTGATGAAATTTTTTTTAATTTCAGTCAATATTGAATTTTTTTTAAATAATCGAATATTGGAAGATCTACAATTAAAAGATTTAAAATTGAAAATTTTGAAAATATTTTAATGAATGAAAAACTATACAAATGTAACGGGTTTAACATTCAACACTTTTCTTATTAAAAACATACTCTAACTTCCGATTTGAACTATTTGCGCATATGTGTGTATCGTTCTCTCGATAGCACCCAATTAAAAACAATTGAAAAAGTATAACTTATTTTATAAAATTGAAAACATTTCGAATCAATTGAATAAATATGTACTCCAATTGGAATCAATTCAAAACAATTAAGAAATTTTTGTACTCAATCATTCTAAATCGTGTTCAATTGATTTTTTCTAGAAGGGTTGTACATGAACATTTTCACCTGGGGAAAAAGATATTTAAAAAGAAATTAAGGTGGGTTTCTCATGAAAAAATCGATTTTTTTTGCATAAATTTACTTCTTAATATGTCAAAAATGCCTTCCTAAAATATTAAGTTGATCCGAGTGTTAGGCACACCTGTCTTCAGTCTCTGAACTTGAATCAACTGAATCGGTAACCCTTCCCCCCCTTATACCCCCGCTAGATTTAAGTACGAATTTTTTATTTAAAAGCCTGACATTTTTTTATTTTTTGGTTTTAAGTAAAACCCCTAGTTTAGAGGCGGAATCGTGTCTACAGCAAAACGCTTTCTGCTTTTAGAGTCAACTTCACCACACTATGACAAATGCTTAATTTAATAATTTAGATGTAAAAATATTATTTTGTTTTAAAAATACTTCAATTTTAATAAGTAAAAAGATTTAGATTGATATTTTTAAAACTTAAAAAAAAATTTAAAAAAACAAAAATGTTCGTTTTTTGACTTTTTCTTGAGAAACCCCCCTTTAGAAAACCATTTCGAGTTCTTATGTTTTACCAGAGAAAGAACAATTTTTTCATATAAACCTATACATATTAGCGAAAAAAATAAGGAAACTTTGGAGGATTCGTTCAATCAATCTCTAATTGAGGTATCGCTCAAGTTTGATTTGGAACAAAATATTGCGCAACTAAATAGTACAGTATGACGAAATAAATTATAAATACTGCTAAACTGGTCACTATTTAGTTCTTTGTGGAAGATTTAAGTTAAATTATACTTCAATTAATAAGTAACTAATGTGCACATTAACTATTTATTAAAGTTCAATTTATCATAATTAATTACACTGTTAAAAAAAGTGAATGAATTGGAAGTTTTTTTCATTCATGTAAAAGAATTTTAAGAACATTAAATGAAAATTAAGTTATAATAACTGAAAATTTATGCGTTATTGCTGAATACACATGCACGTTCATGAATTTTCAGTCAATGTTCTTAAAATTCATTTACATGAATGGAAAAAGCTTCCAATTCATTCACTTTTTTTAACAGTGTAAGTTAATAATGAAATTAAATTTTCATTTTTGAC